AGTTCGTCGCTTTCCTTTTCTACGGCGTGCATTGCCTCCTCTGCCCACACTGCTAAAAGCATCCCTACACTGAAACGTTATTGGACTACTTCCATCTAATTATCCAAATACTAATTACAAAGATGTTGTTTAGGTCTTGGCAGACGGGTCAAAATATCGAGTTAAGATGCTTGCGTTTGGCCTTCAAGTGCGATGCACGCTTTTTGCTTGACGTGGCCCGAGGAACGGCAACAAAAACAACCCATGAGCAGACTTCGTCAGAGAAATTTAACTTAATTTTTTTAGTGATTGATAAAGTGAAACGTTCGCAGAAGTCGTTATATTTCAATTGTTGCGTTACAGATCTCGTCAGGTGTTAAGCTCATTTGAAATAGCAACATATGATTAGGTCGCCTGAAGCTAAATCTCGAGAGCTCGCTGCCAAAGAATTTTGCCATTCCCAGACAGTGCGAACGCGGAACGCGTGATATTCTTGTCGGCAACGTGCATAGTTAAATTAATTCGATAGGATTATTCGACCAGCACCTGTAAGAACATTGCCTGACGAAGGAATGAGGTTTAAAAGCTCAACAGCAACATCATTTACTAAATATTCAGCCACACATCGTCAAGTCTACCCACTGAATTAACTGCCAAATTAGTTTGACAGCAAATGTCACCGCATTTGCCCTTGACTGGCAACTGTCTATCAACACTCATTCATATTCATTAACCGTGCGTTCGGAATGTTCAGTTATGTGTTCGTATAGAATATATAGATAGTAGGGAATATCTCGTTTTGCCTTGAATATTTAAGAAATGTCTCGTCTCATTACGTCACGTATAGTTTCATATCTATCTGTCTCGTATCGTTTCATAATTAACGTGACATAAGTTTTGAAGTCTGTGACACAATTCTTGTCCCGGTTCATGCGATTATTCCGGGACAAATTTTACCCTCTGCCTCGTTATTTTTCCTTTCGAGGAAATTAGTTCGAAACGCAGGAGTCTGATCGAAAACGCGAATGAATCGGTTTCTGGACCGCCAAATTGAAAGCGAAGTCTGTCTTTGGAACGACACCAAACCGTCAAGCCTTCCTTCAACCATGTAACTTCACGGGGGTGCGCAGCCGTGCACCACTAATTTTTTGCAGCAATAAGCCCTGAATCGAGCGCCTTGGATCTCTCCGGACATCCACCAATCAGCCGTGAACCACTCGGCTTCGTCCTCCTTCGGTTTTGCATAAAACCTGGCGTGCACCACCACGCCTCGGATCGAATATGACTTCCGGACATCATTTAATTACGTAATTCTACGTTCGCCGCATCTGAGGTTAGGTTTCAGATAGCATAGTTCTGTTTCAAAATGTATCGTCCTTCAACGAGTGGCCGTTCGACCGAGGGCTGGTTCGACGCATGGCCTAGATATGATTGTCCAGAAGTGTTGAAGGCTACTTTCCGGAAGGCAGGAATCATGATGATCCATTACATCCAGGGCAGTGGTGGTCTTATTAGTCATTTAGTCGTTTAGTCATTTGGCAGGCGACCCAACTTTTACGAGATAGCGGTTTACAGCCAATTCATTTCAAAATTTACGCACAAGTGAACCATTTCAAGGTCAGCGACGTATAGACGTATCACGTATATTAAGCATTTGCCGATGGCTGATATATGTATGATGGCTGAAAACAAGATTCAAGGTAATATGGTCATATACTCAGCATAAACATCTTCAAAATAATGATAATTCCCGGTAGTCTATGGCTCTATACGAACATTCGATGATTATTTTTAACGTTGCAGAAAATTTTTCGTGTTTAATTGAATCGTGCTGAGAGTAACTTGTACTCGAGACTCAAAACATACAGCAATGTATCAGATTACTTGGCAAATTTTCTTAAAAAGGAGATAGTTGTCCGACATTAGGAAAGCCATTGAAATCTTTGAAAACTAATTCTTGTGTGCACGTGAAATTTCTCTCTCCAAAATCGCACTACAAACTTAAGCCGACTCGTGAAGTTAGGGTCAATTATCATTCTTTTGAAGATGTTTATGCTGAGTATATGACCATATTTCCTTGAATCTTGTTATCAGCCATCGGCAAATGTTTAATATACGTCTAAACGTCACTGACCTTGAAATGGTCCAGTCGCGTAAATTCTAGAAATAAATTGCATGTAAATCGCCATCTCGTAAAAGTTAGGTTAGGATATCTCGATCTTGCTAGTGTAACATGAGGGTAGGGTCCGTTAAGTCCAACTATTTGTTTTTTTTTTAGAACAAAACAATTTTGTTCTAAAAGTGTGCCATATAATTTCTGACTGTCACGTGATAGTTTGCGTTGAACGCGTGTAGCCAAAGCGGTTGAAAAACTGGTCTGCTTCTTTCGCACAAAGCTCCTTGTCAACGAATCCCTTGAATTTTTTTTGAAAGATTTCGGGAGCAGTTGGGAGTTACTCACCATTAGCGTTTCAGCGATAGTTTATTTGAATGTTGCCCGACATGTTTATTGCACACATACTTATAACTTAGCTGCAATGCCGTAGCAACAGTCTAGGATCAATCAGGAATATAAATAAATGTAATATTGCTGTCTTTGTTATTTCTAGTCATTTGAATTTCTGAGGGCATTGTGATAATGGCATTTACTCAATCATTTAGCCTGTTACTCAGCAACGAATCTGTAGAAGAATAATATCCCACACCTGATAATTCTACTTGGTCGATGAGTCAGTTAATACCTATAGATAAAAACGCAATTTGTTTTTATTTAATGTCTGATTATAAAGGGGACATCGCGAGCCTAACAAAAACTCGTTGGCCCATTAATAAAGGCATTATGGTTAAAAACTTAAAACCCACTTCACTTTTTGTTTGTTTAGGGAGGAATTTTTTAGAAAGCAGCTAGAAAATAGTAACAATCCATTACTAGAATAAAAAAAATAGGTTTCCTTCTCAGTATTTAATTGGAAAATAATAATTTTTCAATAGTATTTAAAAATAAAACTTCTAGAGAAAAAAACTGATTCTGCGACGCGTTTGTACTGTACATGATCACTACTTTCGGCAGGCCCAGCTTAGACTGTAGCTTGTAGGAGGAGCCTCACCATCGAACCATTGATGACGCGCAATGACGTCCACGGTGTAGTGCCAAGTTATGTTTAGCTATTTTACAATCAACGTTCGTTTACTCGATTCATTTATGATGAATTTTGCCATACAGTAATGGTTACAAATGAAATGGATATATTCAACCTAATGCTTGAATAAAGTCTTCTTGCGTATAAAAAACACATCTTTAATCAGACACGTTTGCACAAAACGTTCGTGCATTACGAACAAAGTTGAAAGTGCAATGTTCAGTCAGCCTGACAACTACTTGGTATTCCTTTCTTATAGATATAAGGATACTGACGGGTAACACGGTAATCACAGACTAATAGTGCGTAGACTACAATGACTTTTAAAGTCTGCAATTCATTGTGACAGCTTAGTAGACTTCCGCTAGATTCACATTTCTATTTGCCTTCACGCGTGTTTTGATTAAACGTAATACATTACATGCCGTTACCTACAATTTGGAACGTATACGTTCCATGTTATATACAAACGACGGACAATAAATTCACTTATTCACTACTCATTTCTCATAAATTCAGAAAGGCAGACAAATCATTGACATACGCTTTTTACAACTTCTATTGTTATTCCATTCAGTGATTCACGGTCTGCTTGCTCAAAGGCAATTTCACTAACATTTGACCCCACCAACGCGTCAAGCTTTCGTCAAGCTTGATCACGTGTCTGATGCATGCATGTGAGAATTTACGAGTTCATAAAGCGAAATGACCCGGTAACAATATAGAGATAGATAACTTCATAAAAGAATTTTAGTTGATATTTGATTAACAAAATATCACAATAGACAATGAATATTCTCCTTTTTTTGACAAAATCAAGTTTGCATGATGTAAAATTTTTGATCGACTCGTTTCTACCAGATTTATATGGGTTTTTACTTCTTTGTACTCTCTACTACTAGGTTCTCCTAATCTCCTCTACTAGATAGATTCATCTCTGCTTAATTTAGTGGTAATTTATACACATAAATTTTAAAAAACAAATGGGTGAACAAAATTTAATGTGACATTCATATTCGAGTTAGGTTTCATAAACATGGGTTGACTTTTTTAATAAAGAAGTATCTGGCAACGGTTGGTGCTCCGGGAACCAATCAGACATCCCTTTTAGTATCTGCGGCCTATCATAATACGACGAAATGGTCAGTCAGCTGAGGGCCAGAGAAGCTGTAGTGTGTGTATGAAAGACACTTGACCTACTGTTTATTGTTTAGTGCTTTGAACAATGTGTTGTACGTCTTCAAAATTCGGTTCTACATCTGAATGAGATTAATAGAATAATTTTGCATGTAAAAGTTATGAGTTTAATCACTAGCTTTTTTTTTTTTGTAACATATACTGCTCGATAGTCGGTTGTTGCCGTGTGACGGTGTGATCATGTTGCTAGCCTGCTAGGATCATAGTAGTAGAATGAGCTTCTGTTAACGGAAAATGTTCTACCTAACTTATTCTCTTTCTTAAAATATTCAAACCTTTTTTATGTTATGTTTTTTGTATGCCTAATATTTCTAAAATATATCTTACTTTCCTGTTCATGGCTCTAGACGACATAACGTATTATTGATAGCCTAGATTAAAATCAGCCTCAGTTTAAAGCCTTGAAAAATGTGTCAGAACGAGAGCTGGGTCAGGCCCAGGGGTGCAATAGGTATATTGGTAGGCTATATCATATGTGCAAGTTTGAGTAGAAAACTTATGCCTTATAGGCATGATAACCTATGGTTTTTTTTGGAGTAAAATATGTTGTTGATTGAGCAGTTGACAAATGCCCACGGTCCACCTAAGTACCTACATAGTTACTTACTAGTTACTAGTATGCTTTTTGCTTGACTTTCCTAATCGCTAATGGGAACAATTTTCTAATATTTTTGGTTATTCCAGATTTCCTGAGAGGCTGAGAAAATAATTTTGCCACATGGCAGTTTAAATCAACCATTGGTGTAGTTTGGTTTAACAATTTGGCAATGTTTAGGCCAAGCAAATGCCCAATGCATCTTCTTGTGAGCCACTTGCTCACTCCCAGGCTAATTGCAGGAACTCCTGCAAGATGTTGTCTGCATTCATTGGTCTGTATCCTATTATCCTATATATATTGCAGGAGACCATTATTTGCTTATAAATAATTTATGCAATCAGTAAATTTCAATGCAATATAAGAAATGACAAATGATGGTAGTTATGTAAACCTTCAAACAAATGTGATAGAATAATAAAAAAAATTGTTATATATTTTGTTCTAAATGCATTTCATGCAAGTCTTTCAACTTATATATAATTTGTTATTTGTTTAATCATAACAGTAATACATATCTACTATAATAATTTGCAGGCAATTAGAGGCTCCAAGATGGTCTTGAAGCCTCTCTTGCAGTTAAACCAACCATCTGTGACCAATAACACTATACGCTGCCTCGCTTCAGTGAAGTTGTCCCAGCATTTGGAATACTTCTCAGCATCTTCTGAACTTACAATGCCTGCTCAAGGATCAATGTGTGTGGGTGTATTTGTATTACATGTATATGCTGCTCAGCACCCATTGTCTGCAATAGTACAATTTTTTGTCTTTGATATTTATTTTATTACACATTGCAATTGTATGAACTTAATGAATGATGAATGTACAGAACAAAATTTTTCATTTGGCTAAAAGCTGATATTTGAAAACGCATTTAAAATATTATTTTCAGACCACAGGAATTTGCTTTTGATCAGAATGAATATTTCTTCACATCATTGTTCATTCATATACCTAGCATTTTAACTTCAAAATCAGATAGGTTTACTTATTCCTTCCAATTGTTGCATTGTAGGTCAGTGGAGCTAGTGATGGGGCTCGTCCTCTAGTGCTGCTGATGGTATGGCTAATGAGCAAAGATGTCCACATTCAAAAGTATGTGAAATTTTACAACAGCCTCGGTGTAGATGTTCTCAAAGTGCGCATCTCACCACTTGAGACTCTGAATCCTACTAAAGGATCTCAGGTAAAACTTTGTTCTGGCACTATAGACAAACGTGTTGATAGGAATATTAATTATTTGCTATTTTCAGGTCTAGCTGAGTACTTAGAAATTGCGCTTATGAAATGATGATATTATATTCATCTTCACATGTGTAGAGTTGGAATGAAGCATTAATTTATGTATTTTACTCAATAATAAAGAGATTATATCTCATGCAAGGTAAATTAAATTGCAAATGTGTATAATTTCTTGACATTTTTATCAGCTTGTGGCTGGCAAGTTCTTGGAATTTCTTCATAAGAACCCTTCCCAGACTCCCATTGTTGTGCATGGATTCAGTGTTGGCTGCTACCTCTTCTGTGAAGGCTTGGTTCAGGTGGAGCCCCAGTTGAAAGCTCAATATATTAACTAGCCTAAGTTATCTAAGTTACTGAGAAGTTACTGAGAAGCAGTTACTTTTCCTACTCTTTAAAATATTCTCCCATCATATACATGCATTGTTACTGCATGAGGAACCTTTCATTTAATGAGTATATGTTATTTATGTCAAATGGTAACAGTATCTTTAATTTAGTACTTTTGCATTCATTGTAAACTGCGCAGTCATTTTCATTTAAATATAAAAGAGTGATTGAATATCAATTAACGGGATTACAAATTTATTTTTTAGTCATGATACTTTCATACCACTTTTTAGTTATAGTTTTATAAATGTAAAAATAGATGAACTTGAATTTGAATATTATTGTTTGCAAAAAGAATAAAACATACTCTCCACATCTGTAATTTTTTTTTGTTTCTATAGGTATTGTTCATGGCCTTATTGAAACTATGTTCTGGCCTCCAATTTCTTCAATAAAATAAATTATTTTGTCACAGATTGACCGCAACTTTACACAGCATGGCCACTTGCTTGACCGTTTTGTGGGTCAGATCTGGGACAGTGGTGTTGACATCTATGCCATTCCTGATGGCCTATCAAAAATTGCCAGAAGTAAAGCCTCCCAAAAACTCATCAAACACTATGTGGAGTGAGTTAATCTCCAGTGCTAAGTTGAAATATTGTACAGAAAAGATTAAGTTGCTATAAATATTAGGGAAAGCACATGTATTTCTATTAGTCTAAATATTGTCAAATTAGGCTTTATATCTTCTGTGGAGGTTCATCATTCTGGCTGGGCTCTAGCAGTGAGCCTGATTACCTTGGGGAGTGGAAAATTATAATTTTCATTAGTTTACTATCTTGTTTGATTGCTGAACCTTCATAGTTGCCATTCTTTCTCCAAACTATGACACCTTTTAACAGCTAAGTTTATTTTTCAGACATGGTTGTTGTCTCTCGCGTCGATCTAATATTAACCATGAACTGCGCAGATGGTATCTCAGGTTTCGGTATGATTCAGCAACGGTCCACTACGAGAGGGCGAGTAAAATGCTCAATGAAGCTTACCTGAAAAAGCCTGGGCTTTTCTTGTTCTCCGATAACGATTCAATTTCTACACCTGACATGAACGCCTTTGTTTTGAATAACTGGACAAAAATGGGCATACCCGTGAGTAATAGGAAGCAGCAATGTTTAATGAGTGGACCTTATCAACTTGAAAATCCTACAAAAATGTTTAACAGCCTGCCTGTTTAAAATTGGCTTCTGTTAAAACTAGATGCTTTCGTTGCGGAAACTAAATGATTGAAGCATGCTTTCTCATTAAATCATATTATTTACTTTATTCATATTTACTTTATGTGGCGTATCATTCGATGATACCGGTAATATGTAAGCCGTCAATGTGATTGCTTACTCTTTCATGATGACAAATTTTGCCTATCATTATTTAATGTGGTGATCAAGTTTTTATAATGTTTTTTTAATTTATTATTTTAATCTCTGCCAAGGAGTTTAGGAAAAATTTTTCATAACGAGTTGTTCGATTTTCACGTTGCTTTGGACTGAAACTCAATACCAACGGATCGGACCTTGAAATACTTTACCTTCAACACAGAACACACGCACAAAATTACTACGTACTTAAGACTTAGACGACATATTGCATGTAATGACAGAGTGTCTAAGCAGAGGGCTATTCTGCAGGAATAATAATTAATCGTTGATGGAACTTGTTTTCCGTGACACGCTCGCTTTGTGCTAGAGTGGTTAAACCAGGTTTTTTATTTTTGGCACAAATGTGCTAACTCTTGTGGCATTTCCCACACCTTGCCCATTATCTTGGCACCCGTCAATACCATTGCTTCCACACCACTTCACCGTGGATTATTATGTAATATAGGTACGTATAAAAAAATAATTTATGTGATAATAAGTATATGAAATTTACACTTTCATGCCGACTAATCACCTATCAATAAAAAATTATTCGCGGTGTCAAAGCTAATCATTGCAATTGATTGCAGGTTTACTCGAAATGCTTCACGGGATCTCCTCACGTCGGTCATTTCTTCCGTCACCCTTCAGCCTACAAAGAAGAAGTCACTAACTTCCTCCACACCGTCGGCTTCTTGCGGCTGCACGAGAAGCATGAAGCCACTGCCTAGTTCTTCTTCCCAGGCTTCAATTGTTTTCAGTGCACCGAGTCTTGTTCATTGCTTCATTGTTTGTGGTATCTATTCTGACACGATCTATTCTTCTGGTGCCCACGCGAGATATTTTTATCCGTCTGACAGGGGTTCCGAAATATGTGTTAATTACTGCACAATCTCAATAGAGAGAATTAAGCTTTTACTATAGTTATCTTTTGTGTCTATATTAACTTTATTTATTGTCTTGTCTATCTGTTTTGTGAGTATTGCTATTATTTATTTCACAAATGACTAGTATTAATGCCAATATCGTGGTGCTGCTTTACGAACGTTATTGTGTTCCGAAATAGCCATAAACATTCAAATGTCTTCTACGATCAACGTGTAGTTATTCTATGAAATTTTAAAAATCAGACTTGTATGTTGCAAAATATTTAACCTCTACGTTACTAGTTCAGCCACTAGTTCTAATTTTTGTTTCTGAGTGAAGGTAGGTGCATCTCGCAGACGAATTATTTGTATTTTTTCGAAATAACTCTCCTCCATTTGTTGCTTTTGTCAACGTCAGAAATCAACTTATTGAATTTAATTCATAATTTGAGTCATATTATTTCGCAGAAACGCGTTTGCGTCGTACGTGAAAATGGATCTGATCGTATGAATGACTGCTGCTTCATTGGTGCTCATAGATGAAACATTGACATGTGCAGAGCTACAGCGTAGCGTTGCAAACCTCAGTATCGCAGAGTCCTCCTCCTCCACTTCATCTTGTAGTTTTTCATTATTTGCCAGTACATTACTTCAGTGTTACTTGGGCATATCACTACTTTTCTGTAGTAATCCTTTGGCAGGATACTAGGTACTCATTCGAGTCACAATATTGGACTCCAGCGTGAAGCAACATTACATCAGCATCGTATTTAATACAAGCTTATCGTTGTTTAGGCCTCAAATATTCTAAGTTTTGATTTAATGCAATGCACGCTGCGCAATCATAGTGATATATAACACTATTATAGTCTTCCCATGATATTCAAAGGAATGCGGGTTCATTTACGGCTTCAGATGGAATTACGGCCCGTATTTTGAGACCGGGTTTCAGGTATGATTGTTCAATGCCCTTGGTAATTACCGGGGTTTCAAAAATTTTATGAATCTCAAAGTTGACAGTTCACTTGCTGTAAGCTTTGTCATGTATCAGCTTTTTCGCAATGCGCATAAATTGATGCTACTTCTCTGACGTTTTATTTACGAAACTGTGCTTGTTTATAGACTCCCTTGGACTCACGAATGACTGAACGTTACCGATTACTTACTTATGTTTTCATCAATATTATTATATAATGACTAGGATTCTTGAGCATCTACACCTTTTCATTATCTTCAAACATTGAAATCCTTTATCTTGAATTATTACCATTGCTCGATACATGCACTGTGAACTTCGTGCATGTACGAACGTACATGCACGAAGTTTATGTCTCAACGCCAACTTAATGATCGTGACGAAGTGTATAACAATGTTTTTTTGCATTGGTTACAATCGTTTGTTGAAACCGATTTTAATTATTTATTAAAATGTATTTTAATGATTTATTACAATGGATAACAATTGTTTATTACAGCGAATTGCAATGATTTACTTTTATGTATATTTAGTGATGTAAAATGGTAACGTTTAACCGTCACCATACTTTCATTTCACTGCCATGCCACGCTACGTCTACACGAGTGAAGTGGAAACCTTTACATTTCTCAATGATGACCTCAAGTTTCCTGTTTTTAAAGGTTGCTTAACCTTAGTTTCACAACGGTGTTAACATTTACTTCAGTATATAGCCATATTATATAGTATATAGTTGAGGTTAGTGCCATTTATGGTTGTGCAATCTTGTTATCTTGTTGAAATCAACATTAAATATTCAAGTACAAATTTCCCTTTATTTTTGGTTGGCGCCAGAACTGTTCAGGATAAAGACTTACTATGAATCTAGCGTCCTGAATTTTGGAGCACAATGCCTAAAATGATATGTGAAGAAATTCGTAGCATTAGACCTTGACTTTGACACCTTCTAATCTCGGGACCATTAGTCTTCATCGATCTCATTATGTCGCAGCACCTGACTCGTGGTTTTAGTTGCTTCGTAAAGAGAATGTAGGACCGATGAGTAAACATGCATGTACACTCGTGTGGGCGCGTGTCTTACCGTGTCAATGATCTCTTGTACACTTGAATGTTTCCATTTCTTCGTTACGTTTCATGCGCCGTCGGTCTGAGATTCTATTGCTGCTAAGTCATTGGCGGCGTCAGTGCGCTGGCAGATATGAAGTTGAATTTTCTTCTCTTTGTGAGGAATACTGTTGAAAGTCATATTTACTAATTTGATGGTTTCAATTCAATAAATTGAATGTTACCGCCGGGGCAAGATTTTCTTGCTGGGGATGTGATGACGCGCTCCCCCGGTACCCGAGCGTCTTTCAGTGCAGTCGCGTGCACAATAACTGCTGTCGACTTGCACATAAATCAATTACGTTCTTAATATCACCACTGAAACACTTCATAGGTTTCTGGAAAGTTAGTGAGAAAAGACTAACTTTCCAAAAATTCTGTAAGGTTAGCCTGAAAAACCGGAATGTTATGTGCGCTGGCTCTGTGGAACTAACGTTGAGCAATTGATCGCGACCAACTTATTAACGTTTACTTCCATGTTGGTCTTTTGTGTTTCAGAACTTTTCCTGATTCTTTTATAAGAAACCGTGTTAATTCAAGTCACTATATTTATTATAATTTATAGAATAAACCTATTAAATTTTAGTTGATGAGTTGAAAGGTTCCTGAAAAATCAGTCGCAAAGATGAACATGAAAACCTGCAGTCGCGTCTTGGCGATGGTTGTTCCCCCAGTCTGCAGAACCGCATTGCCTTCTTCGGTGAGTAATTATTGTCTACTATCAACAATTCTCTTTAATAATAATATCATATTTTATTGCATTGTTGATTTTTTCACATCGTTATTATTTTCAAAGAGAAATTTCGTCGCAGACTTATTTTTTAAATTCTTTGGCTTTTCTCTTTACTCGGCCGTAGAGCGACCCGGCAGATTAAATGAAGCTATTCTTCTTTCATATGATAATCACCGTTTTTTAGACGGTGACCTCAACACATCTGCTGGCAATTACCCTCTGAACTTTTTGCTCTGGCTTTTATTAATATTGAATTATTGTTGTGTGATAATCGTGTGATTGCCGTTTAATTTGACAACCTTTGCCATGACTTGTAATCGTCGGGGGTGCGTTGCCTGCTGCGTTTGGGGACTATATAGTAAGTGCTCGTACATATCGCTACGCTGTCTGCATAGCTGTGACCACTCAGTACTCGTGTGCAGGCTTTACAATCCATGTACGGCTTCACCAACTCAGCCCTGGGAGCTCAACTGTTACGTCACTTCTCGTCTCTCCGCTTCAACAGAAACCTCGAGTTCTTCACACCAGCAGAAAAACCCATCGTCACACCCGATGTCAAGGGATCGTTTCGAGTAAGAACTCGAAACAAGTATAGAAGTTGTTTGAATTTGTTTACATATTATGTTGACCGTTTTAGCTGTGGTTTCCCTTCATAATGCATTTTAATTTGATTTGAGCCAAACTGTAATTAAAGACGAGTCCTGAACAGTCTGTGGGACCAAATTAGGAACAGACTAATCTCAGTACTATTGTTGAAACTTTATTGTTAGGCATTTCACTCCGGTAGGTATTAATTACTCGTCATCAACAAGTCATTTATTATTTTTAATTTTTGATCAAAGATTGAGCAGAGCAGCCCTGGCCGACCGCTGACAGTGTTACTGAGCTGGCTGATGAGCAGAGACAGTCACGTGAAGAAGTTCGTGAAATTCTACACTGACCTTGGCTTTGACGTCTTGAAGATAAGAATATCACCGTTTGACCTCATCAGACCTGTCAGAGGCACCCAGGCAAGAGCATAAAGTATTTAGCCGATAATTCCGTAATATACTATAATATATTGATAATATTACGATAATAACGTAATATATTGACTTCTTATACGGCTTATACGGTCTCACTATCGAGACCTCTTGTACCTCTCCGCTCTACTGTAGGAAAACTTGCTGTGTTTTCAAATTATTTATTTATATATAACGGCTTTTTATTAAAACAAGAAAACTTATTGGAATTAAATATCATGATGCGGTTTCAATACATTTTCGACATTTTCCTCTTGACGAATGATTCAATCATCATAATTGTATTAATCCCAAACATAGAATGCGAACATATAAGGTTTTCAACTTCAAGCGCTAATAACCAGACGCCTCTTCCAACAAAGTCTTAACTACTCAATGCAGTTAAATAAGCGTAAATAATTATGACAACTTAAATACTTAACTTAACTTGATACTTAATGTAAATAACTAACATAAATAAATGCAACTAATAAAAGACAACTTAACTACTTAACATAACTTGATACTTAATGTAAATAACTAACATAAATAAATGCAATTAATAAAAGACAACTTAACCACTTAACATAACTTGATACTTAATGTAAATAACTAACATAAATAAATGCAATTAATAAACGACGACTTAACTACTTAACTTGATACTCAATGTAAATAACTAACATAAATAAATGTAAATAATAAACGACAACTTAACTACTTAACTTGTATAACGCCTCTCCCGCAGGTGGTGATGAGTCAGACGCTGCAGTTTCTAGAAGCGAACCCGTCGCACAGCCCGGTGTTGGTGCACGGCTTCAGCGTGGGGGCTTATGTCTTCGGTGAAGGTATGGTCATGGTGAGTTTAATTATAAACAAACTTACTTTGTTTATAATTGAATAGTTTGTTGCTATTCACTTGGTATTTCTTGAGTAAGACTTGGTTAGTCGTGTTCATGATATGGGAATTCAGGTCACTTGTATGCATCTATTGGAATTTTCAGTTTAGTTCACTGTTTTACTACAAGTTCGTTTTGAAATGCATGTAAGAACTGGATGAAAGGACGGAAAAATCATTGTTGGATAACAATTTCCCAGCAAAGGATATATCAGAAAAATGAGAACTAGTATGACCTATAATAACCGCGCTAAATGAGTTAACATAGCTTTTGTTCGTAATTTATGGCCCTTGTTGATTGTTTGATCACGAATAGAGGTTACTGGTCGGTGAGTAACTATCTATCCATTGATTCAGGAATGAGGTAGTAATTTCATGGATAATATGTTGTTTTTTATTAATTTAGATTTTGTTTGTCCAGATGGCCAACGATGAGGAGCGGTACAGTCCTGTGATGGAGCGTTTCGCGGGACAAATTTGGGACAGTCCCGTGGACTTGGAGGGCATCCCCTACGGCGTCGCTAAAGCCGTCACCGCAAACAAGCTTCTGCAGAGTTCCATTCAGTCGTATTTAGAGTAAGTGATGTAAAAATTCGTGAATAGTAGAATAGTAGGTCGACCGTCTTTGCCTTAAGTTATCTTTATATCTTATCTGGGTGATGATATTCTTTTTGACAACTCGAAATTGCCCTGTACAAATTAACTTGCTTGTTAAATTATTCACTTTTTCGTAGGATTCTATGCGCCACTTTTCTTAGATTATAACTCAGTATTTAATAATCACCAAAATGTATTTGTTTTCGCGCGTCAAGTGTCGTGTACACCGCGGTTTGAGCTCGAGGTTGCTTGAGCCAGCGTTGCTAGCTTCGTAAGCCTGTTGCTGCTTAAGTAATCAAGGGCCGTCCTTAATAAAACTTGCTCTAATATGTGTAGCGGCTTGAGTACACGTGTAGAGTTCTCGTCTCTGTCGGTTTAGCTGGAAAAGCCGTCAGTGGTTGGCGGACGGACCCACGAACTCTTAATTATTTTTGATGGTACGTCCGCTCCCCTGTTCTCTGCAAACGATGGACCTGGACGGTCTTGTTCAGAGCAGGTTATATCAGTGGTCGGGTTGACTGCTGAAGCCTGGCCTGCAAGATAGGTGCTTTTAATTTGTGCTGAGTTCAGATTTGCCATCAACTTAGTCGACGCCTGTGTACTACTTCTTAGTAATCTGAAGTTTTCGTGTTTGTTATTTCAATATTTCTGAGCTACTTTAACAAAACAAATTGAGCATAACAAAGTACGGTACTCAGTGCAAATTTGATATCTGCAGGAGCTTTCAGTAAACAAGTTTATACTTCACCACAAAAAAATAATAAAAAAGTGAAGCCTCGGAACCGGTACTTCTGTCCTGGTCCTGACTAGTTGGTGTAAGTAAGGCGTGAGATTGTAATGAGTAGCGCAGACGCAAGGAAATAACAAATATCGTCTCGGTGTTTCAGTTGCGTTCACCGAGACGATCGTTCTGTTGCCAGACCTGTATTCGGTGGACTCCCTCACCGTGTGAGTTAGCATTTAATTTCACAGTAGGTTTGTATTAGCTAAAGTGCGGTGAAATTCGCATAAATTTTTTCTTCTTTACGTTTGCAGATGGTTCCTACGTGCCCAATACGACAATGCAACGGTTCATTATATGCGGTCAAAGCAGAAGTTCCACGAGTGCTACGTGCGGCGCCCTGCACTCTTCTTGCTCTCGAAGGCCGACCCCGTCGCCACCATCGAGATGAATGCCGTCGTCTACGAGAAATGGGAGAAATACAATGTCCCTGTGAGTGAAATCTTCTTTAATTTGATGACATCTCGTGCTTATCGTACGGACGTTGCTGGATCTAATTTGTCTGACATCTCGTGCTTATAATACGGACGTTGCTGGATCTAATTTGTCTGACATCTCGTGCTTGTCGTACGGACGTTGCTGGATCTAATTTGTCTGACATCTCGTGCTTGTCGTACGGACGTTGCTGGCTCTAATTTGTCTGACATCTCGTGCTTATCATACGGACGTTGCTGGATCTAATTTGTCTTGACTCCTAAAACGTGTCCGTTCGTGCAGGTTTTCGTGAAGATATTCGAGAAGTCGCCGCACGTGAGCCACTATTACCGCTACAAGGAAGCCTATGTAGAGGAGGTGCTGACCTTCTTGCAGAAACTTGGTCTAACCGAGGAGGGCAAGAAGCGGCAAGTTGCGTGAGGAACTTAGCATCTCGTGCAAGCACACGTGACTAACGCATTTGCAGCTAGTTGATGAGATGCAGGATGTTTGATTCTGCTACCTACGACAAATGTATCAACTTGTACTTATCCGGCCCATTCATGTTGAATGTTTCTCAAGAAGCTACGAGAATGTAGGCGAATTAAAGACAGTGGCTCAGAAGGCAGCTGAAGTGCTCCTGCTGATCAGTCTTTGGGTTATCACATATTTGCATCATTAGGAGCGAAAAGATTGAAATGAATATATACATGTAGAGAAAACCAACCATATACTTATGAACTTATGGTGTACATTAAAAGAAGTCTCATTTGTGAACCGCACGATTTGAGTCACTGCGGTCGGATGGAAATTAGCGACTAAGGTCTCACATAAGATAGGAGATGATGAAAAGCCAGCACATTCTTGCTTCTTGTCTCGCATGGCAACTTGCCAACCAATCCGAACTTCGACTCGAAGCTTGACACCAGCTGCCCCAAGACCAGCTGCCACCTCATGTCGACCAGCTGGTGTCAAGACCAGCTGCCACCTCATGTGTTGACACCAGCTGCCACCTCATGTCGAGACAAGCGCCCTTCTCTTGTCTGTCTAATGAGACTTTGCGTGTAAGCAGTACCTTGCGAGTGCCCTCTACCACTAGACCGACCATGCTTCTGTAATATTTACCTGTGCCCCTCGTACACGGTCATACCAAAAGCCACATTTCAGTCCTAGTTTGATCAATTCATTGCCCCTCGTGTAGTGACAGGCTCTTACGAAGTAGCCAAGCGATCTCTCCGCCAGAAAATATCCATCCGCACAGTGAAGACTGCCGAGCACAACTGGGTCCTGTTGCATAAACCAGCATCAAAATCTGGCCAAGATGCACCATCAATGGTGAGAGCCGTCTTTCCATGCCGTCATCGGTTGTTCTGATCTATGAATTATGAACGAGTAAGCAAAAAGAACCCTATAGCAAAACTAACTTCGTAAATTGTATTTGTTGGGATTATTATGTGGGCTTGTTGCTTACTTTTATGCTTAATTTCAGCAGTTTATGTGGAGTCATAAATGGCTCACAGGCGTTGCAATTTATGTAGTCTGTAGAAACGAAGATGGCGATACGTGCTTTAATTTGTACATAAGTTAGGTTGTGATCTGCCAGAATTAGATACGTTCTTGCGCTATTGTATATGAGATTTTTCACTATAATTCTTTCTAATATAAGTTTTTACTTTCAAGTCCTGCACTGACGATCTTTGCGAAGATTTTTTTTATTCATTGATGTATTTTTGGGGGATCTTTCTCTTTATCGCCAAATTAACTTGGGTAACTAATTGTATACCTAAAGATAATTACTAAAACTAGCCTCGATGATACCAATTTCTAATTTCCCATTGCAAAGGGGTTAAATCTTTAAATAGTTTAAGTAGATTATTGGGGAATTCTTTATATTTTTTCATCTATCGTGTCCGCTGCATAAAGATCTATGAATCTCAGGGTTAACTGGTAATATCCCCTTAAATTATGATGCGGATGCTCGATAATTCGTAAGGTAAATCTTATTTTGACTACGCCACTAAACTAACTAACTAACTGGTGGACATAAAAACCTAAAATAATAAAGCGTTTAAAGCTCATTTGTCAACTAGATTTGCAACATTTCTACGATATGATGGAAATAAATATGGACGAGTGTCCGATAAGTACCTATCTAGCATCAATTTAAAATAAGGGTACAAATGTGAATTTTCCTATTCCAATTTTCAGTCAGCTCTTCAACAATCTTACGGGCCGTATATATATTTTCTTTTAGATATATAGGTACCGTAATAGAATCTACTCCAGAATGAGTCTGTTGATAAATTTGGAAGGTCAATATCTCACTGCCAAATATACTTTAAACCATAGGTGTCATCACGCTAATTTTCTCCTCTGCATTTGCGTTTAGCAAAGTTATGTTCTGCCACAAAAATAAGATTAAATGTTTTATTGAAGAGAAATAAAGAAATGTATTTTTGAATGCATAAATGCCGTTACAGATGGATAAAATGAAATCCATTACTAAATTTAGTTGATTTCACTCGCCATTTCTCCTCGTGTCACCCTGTCCGAGCTGTTGGAGGAAGGATTGCAAGATCGACTGAGGGTTGGGGCTCTTGAGGGCGAGGGTTTCGTGTAGATTTCTACGGGGTCATCCAGAGTAAAGAACAGTGGCATTAACTTGTTAGCTTGGCGGCTACGTGAAAAGTATAAATGTTATATTTTTTTATAAACTGTTAATCCTTGTCCACTAACATGTTATAGTTGTTGAGAATTTTCCTAAAATAGTTGTAATAGTCATTAGAACTATCGTTCTTAATGAAATTTAACAAATTCATATTACTAAATCACTTTTTTTCGGCAACTAATCTTTTGATCCAATTCCCCTATATGTGAGTGAAGCACGCGCTTCATAACGCAGGTGAAAGTAATGTGCTGCTCAAATCAACTAGGCATAACGTCGTTGGTAGACTGTTTTTTCGCAGCTGAGCAGCAAAGCATATTTAACGAATTTTTAGTTTATCCCTCGCCCACGCCGCTGCTACTACAGCCAGCACCTCGATCATGAAGCCTTAACCAGCCTAGAAACCGCCGCTCTGTGCCCAAACTTTTGAAGAAGCGACTAAGATATCGTGCTTACAACCGACGCAATTCCTCAACTTCAACGAGCGGCTTGAGGCGAACCGCTTCACGTCGGCCTCTTTTTTTCCCAAACTTGAATAAGAAACTCTTGCTAAAAGTTAAGCTACAACTTTGTTAAGAAGATGTCAAACGTCAGACGTGTGTTCTTTTTAATAGGACCTAAACTATGCTTTAATCATCTCACATGATCGCGCGCACTGATGCCACGTTGCAACCCGAGCTTCCACTTGACACGTGTGCTGTTGTGATTGGAGGAGGCCATGGTTTGGGAGCACGGTCGTGACTAGCCTCGATGCCTTGACGTCTGTGGACCGAGTCATTAAGCTACTCATGCTGTTGGTCAGCTGTCTCCTGTCAGTCATCTTTCTTCTGTCAGTCATCTTTCTTCTGTCAGTCATCTTTCTTCTGTCAGTTACTCTTTCTACTGTCAGTCATATTTCTTCTGCCAGTCATCTTTATTCTGTCAGTCATCTTTATTCTGTCAGTCGTCTTTCTTCTGCCTGTCATCTTTCTTCTATCAGTCATCTGTCTCTTGTCAGTCATCTTCCTCCTGTCAGTCATCTTCCTCCTGTCAGTCATCTTCCTCCTGTCAGTCATCTTCCTCCTGTCAGTCATCTTCTTCATGTCAGTCATCTTCCTGCCAGTCATCTGCCTTCGAAGATGGTGCGCAGTCGACCACCGTCACGCAGCACGGCAGCGCCAAACGCCCGCACGGTCGAGTCTCCTGAACTTCCATGTACGCGGCTTGGCGTGAGGCTCCGCCTCCACCCAAGCCGGCGGAGCACGCTTTACTGGCACACATGACTAGATTTCGCTCTTGTGACCGTGCAAGCGATCTTGTACAAGTGGTCGTGCCAGCAAATTATGTATCAGTGACCATACAACGGTTAATTTTATTGCTACTTATCATCCGTTTACGTCTAAATGAAGTGATAACGAACTTCTATTTATGACAACCTTAACACACCTGCCATTATAAGCTACCATTGCGATTGATTTTATTTTCACAATGCCACCACCCCAAATCCTCGTCTAAAATCCTGATTTTCGACACTGCTGCTACCGCCGGGGCAAGATTTTCTTGTTGGGGAAGTGACGCGCTCCCACGGTACCCGAGCGTCTTGCTATGCGAATAATGTAGGTTCTGACTTGAATGTTAGTCTTGCTACATGAAACGACACCATTGCATCTAAGTCGTTGGAAATGATTCAATCTTATTACTACTTTTATGATATTGATTATAAAATATTTATTCTTTTATTAGTTGAGAGTTTTTATCTCCCAGACCAGTCATGTTTTTTCATGAATTGTCGTTAGGGCCAGTTCCTATCTTTGACTCGTCTTGTCTTTCACCATTTGTGAATTACATTTGAGTTTCTTAACACCGTTAGCACTGTACCTCAATCTTGCTATTATATAGCAAATAAAATCTAAGTTGCATTTTATCCGTAACGAGCATTCCAGTAATCCACGCTAAACGAACTATTGATCCAAGATGCTGCTGTAGAATTAACATAAAAATTTTCATCAATTCAATATGCGACTGATTATTTTCGACGTTCGCTTCATTGTTGGTCTGTATTTTCCAGACCTTGACCTGAATTATTCTCAGAAACTCTCTGAAGTCGGGATTCTGAAATTGTTGTTTTATTTTCAGTTGGGTAATTGAAGTTTAGTAAATTAATTAAAAGGTTACCCAATAATTGGTCACCGAGATGAACTTGAACAACTGCAGTCGCGTCTTCGCTCTGGCCGTTTCTCCGGCCTGCAGAACTGCGTTGCCTTTCTCTGCGGTAAGTAATGATTTTCGATCAATTGTCGACTTTTCACTGGACATTTAAACGCTAACACCCGATGATAATTATTTAGATTAATTAATTTTTTGTATGTTTTATTGTGTTTATCAGAACCGATCGTCCGGGAAGTTTTCCCTGATACCTATTGAAGTTGACGACTTGACGTTATCGCCATTAACTAAATTTGCATTCGATCATCAGGCGGGACGATGCTAGACTTCAATTGCATTCAGTGGGCGTGTTAAGTATTTCATTGTATGCTTGCGCAAAATTTGTAATTTTTCAATCTAAAATAACGCTGGATAATAAATAATACATGCGCAGGCTCTACAATCCATGAGCGGCTTCACCAACTCAGCCCTGGGAGCTCAACTGTTACGTCACTTCTCGTCTCTCCGCTTCAACAGAAACCTCGAGTTCTTCACACCAGCAGTAAAACCCATCGTCACACCCGACGTCAAGGGATCGTTTCGAGTAAGAACTCGAAACCGGTGTAGAAGTTATAAAATTTTTATTTGTTGATAAATCTGTTTTTACGCGATGTGTTATTAAATGCATTACATTTAGTGCAGTTAGAAGATCTCGTAATTCTATCCACAATCCAGTATTGGAAGAATTTTTGCGGACCTTAAATTTTCTTGTAATCGGTCATTCGATGCCTTTTCAAATAAGGTGTCTTGAAACGTATCCTTCAAATCAAAACAAAAAAAAAAACTTACTTTAATCAGTAATGTAAGTAACCATGATTACTAGTAATGTAAATGCACTTCTTATTAACTTTTGACCATAGCTGCAGGAGAGCAGTCATGGCCGACCGCTGACGGTGTTGCTGAGCTGGCTGATGAGCAGAGACAGTCATATGAAGAAGTTCGTGAAATTCTACACTGACCTTGGCTTTGACGTCTTGAAGATAAGAATATCACCATTTGACCTCATCAGACCTGTCAAAGGCACCCAGGCAAGTACAGATCGATATTACTTACTTACAGGAATATCAACGGGATAGCGTTTTCACGTTTAGTTTCGATTTAAAATACGTTCTCGTTTCAAATTTTTTTGAGAATAAATCTATTTTACTGCCGTAAAGCGTATTCGTTTCGAGAACTTGCAAATTATTAAAAAAAAAAGTTCAATGTTAAGGGCAAGGAATTTGCAACAGTTCAAGGACGAAAGACAAAGAGTTGCAATAAAAGGCCAACTTGCTTTAAGAGCTAGCATACCATCATTATAGAAATCCTCGCGAGGCGACAGTGATCGCGACTGCAGGCTGCGGTACCCGACCACGTGAGGATACACGGAAACGTAAGGGCAGACCAGGGGGCAGTCAGCGCGGTCACGGCTAACATGGTGATTTTCAGTGAAGTCGTGACTACTATTCCATAATCAAAGCAGGAATTCATACGGTGTGGCGAGAGCAGTGGCGAAATGCCAAGGAAAACAAGTTAAAAGCCCTGAAGAACAATGGACGAGACTGGAAATCTTCCTACCACAGATCGCGATGTATGGAAGTGGCCCTGAGTAGGCTAAGGATTGGCCACACACGCCTCACCCACAGATACCTTGCAGAACGCCTTCCAATGTCTTACTGGTTACTGCAACGAGCGTCTAGTCCCCCTGTCTGTGCTATACGAGATAGTGGAGTGCTCCAACTAGTGTCGACAGAAGTAACTTCTTCCCAGATACCCTCCAACTGAACCTGAACGTAACCTTTGCCATGATCCTGAGGTAGATTTCTCGAATTAGCTTCAGAACAGACAGCGTCAAGCGATATCTAACTCAATGTAACCTACTCTCTGACCTTTAGGACTTATGCAATGATGGTAGCGCTAACCTCACACCAACGTTAAGACATGAACACTAACCTTAAGACCTCAAAACCAACTATAACCCTCACGACTGCGTGTCTACCGAGTGAACGACCAACATCGCTACCGAGTGAACTAGACTACAAGTCTGAAACTCCTCAGAACGACGGCGCTGCGAATTGGACTTATGGCCCGAAATGGATAAAGATTTTCTGAAGCTCTAGTAAATTTACTACTATTACTCTTTCCATATACTAAATGACGAAGACTTCTCCCGACACATTGTTGACACATCTTCTAACAATGATGGCAACGAAACTATTTCAATGTTAAATCAACCATATTGTTTATCCGTCGCTTTTAATTAACGATCGCCTCTCCCAACAGATTGTTGTGGATCAAATGCTGCAGTTTTTGGAGAGCAACCCATCCTCCAGCCCTGTCTTAGTGCACGGCTTCAGCGTGGGGGCGTACATCTTCGGTGAAGGCATGTTAAAGGTGAGTCGATGTGAAAACAAACCTATTCAGAATTATTACTCATCATTTCTTTCAGACAGCCATAGATTAGTCAGACATGAATGGCTTAGCTGAATTGTGTTCAGTAGTTTCTGCCTGTTAGCTTGCTTCGTGTATAAAAGTCGTAATTTATGGCCCTTGTTGCTGGTTTGATCATCAGAAACGAGTAGAGGTTACTGATAGGTGAGCAACTACCTATTTATAATTGATATAGGAATTAGGTAGTCATTTCAAGAATAATATATTGTTAATTATTTATCTAGAACTTGTTTATCCAGATGGCCAACGACGTGCAGCGGTATGGTCCTTTGATGGATCGTTTCGTGGGACAAATTTGGGACAGTCCCGTGGATGTGGAGGGCATCCCCAGCGGCGTTGCTAAAGCCATCACCGCAAACAAGCTTCTGCAGAGTTCCATTCAGTCGTACCTTGAGTGAGTGATATAGTAGGGAGCAAGACTTTTGTGTTGGACGTGTCGAGAGTGAGTCTTCTTTGTGCGAGGTATCGTGAGTAATTATTCAGCTTGAAGGATCTTAAGGTAGTTCTCTGCGTTAGATGAAACTCAAGTCAGCGTGATTTGTTAGGGGAACTTTAGTGAGTAGTTTTACTTTGCTAAGCTCTGAATCAATGAGCCTTCTCATAAGAATACCTGCAGGCCGATACGGGATTCAGGGGAAGACCGAGAGGTTAAGATCACAATTCTGGAGCAGCGAGTTGGGAGTTCGCAACCCGTTCTAGTTGTGATAATTGTGGTTGAAATCGGCGAGATGGCTAGGTGGTATCGAATGAGGTACAGGCCTACTCGGTATAATCAAAGCTGACACTACCATATTACATTCAAAATATAAGGACTCTAAAATCAGTGATAATTATACTGAGAGCAATGTCAGAGTCACTAAAACGATTAAAGACACCTCAAAACTTGTACCTGCTGTAGATTCACTATAATGAATTCCCAGCATTCTACAAGCTGCATAAGTTCCGTGAACAAGATTTTCCGCCTGTAGAGGCGATTTTCTAAATTTATCAGCAAGTGTTTTTTTTCATCCAACCTCTAAAGTTCCGGTTTCAGTCTTTTTATGCAACGAGACCTTCAAAATTTTTAAAGGTACCCGTGCCATTTCAATAACATACAAATTGTAGATTTAGTACCAGCAGCAAAATTAAAACATTACACAAAAGTTTTAGGAGAAAAAAAACGCTCAACTCGAAAACGTTCCACTAATAATTACTTATTAGGTACTGAGAAAAATCGGTTAACACTTCAGCCAGCAGAAATGGAGCCTCGTCTATCAGGTCGATGGTCATTAACAGCCGACAGCTTCGTTTCGTATATCAGCGCAAAGTTCATATATTGGGAGGAATTTTTCAGCTATAGTTCGTAACCCACATTAACCATAAGTGAAGACGTCGGCTTGTACGCAGTTCATTGTAAAACAGTACTAACACGCGCCAAGCTCGTCCTGAAGTTTCGCGGTTTACCTGAATTCTTCTCAATCCTAGATAATTAGTACCACTGATGCCAAATAATAAATCAGTAACCTTGAGGTAACAAACTTGTTTAACCCCAAAACAATTTTCCTTCAGATGGTTCCTGCGCACCCAGTATGACAACGCGACGATTCACTACATACGGTCGGCGCAGAAGTTCCACGAGTGCTACGTGCGGCGTCCTGCCCTTTTTCTGCTCTCGAAGGCCGACCCCGTCGCCACCATCGAGATGAATGCCGTCGTCTACGAGAAATGGGAGAAATACAACGTCCCTGTGAGTAGAATCTTCTTTAATTTGATGACATCTCGTGCTTGCCATACGGACGTTGCTGCATCTATTTTGTCTGACATCTCGTGCTTATCATACGGACGTTGCTGGATCTAATTTGTGTTGGCTCCTAAAACGTGTCCGTTTGTGCAGGTTTTCGTGAAGATATTCGAGAAGTCGCCGCACGTGAGCCACTATTACCGCTACAAGGAAGCCTATGTAGAGGAGGTGCTGACCTTCTTACAGAAGCTTGGTCTCACCGAGGAGGGCAAGAAGCGACAAGTTGCGTGAGGAACTCGAAGAATTTCACTGGACACCTGATCAATGCCACAGCGGCGGTGGATGGTAGTGCAACAGGCCAGACGTTTGTCGTATTGCAGAGACAAGTTATTCCTTCGTGCTCCAATTAGAATAGAATGTAACTTTCCTGTGGCAAATTAAAAACCGAGACAAAAAATTGGTACCAATGACAATAGGCTGTTCTTGAGACTTTCAGTTCAGTTTTTGTTCATCAGAAAGATTTTGGAGCGATCTGTATTGGGTCTGTCACACATTGGCAGCTAGCCAGCACTGCAGATGTTGAGCACGATGCTTATCTTTAAGTTAACGATTCGCATTTGATTATTGAGATTATTCCTAGATATCACGTTGATAATTTTAGTCAAGTGTAGTAAAGAATATTAAAAAAAAAAATCTGCACTTCCTTTACTCAACAAGGTGGCGATATCTGAAAGTGAAGTAAGATGGCATTCCGTTTGATGAACACAAAATTTTATCATAGTTCCAGTTCCTCATCATCAAAAGCAACTTCGCCATGTAAATACGTCAAAGATAACAAGCTTCCGATACCTTTCCAGAAACATAAGCCAAATAAGTTTACTCATAATGATAATCGGCAATTTTCCTTTTTATCAAATCTTAAACACACGTTGTCTCTCGCGAATCTTGACCGCCTAAGTCATGTTAAGAAGGGCTTGGGCCCGATTGAAAACTATGTCATTAAGCTTTACGAGTAGAAAAGATCAAACCTTGGCAAATATGTTGTGATTGAAAGAAATCTATGAAATGGACAAGTCTAGAATGTCAACAAAAGAAAACTAAGAACCAACTGAAGAAAAAAAAACCTAGATTATGTTGAGCTGCTAATCAGAATGGCGAGGTGATCGGTGACGCGGTCTCCTGTTGTCGAGCGAACGATCCATGCGGTGGGAAGGCCGGCGCGGTGGTGGAGACACAGACGACCTAATCAAGATACAGTGAGAAAGAACTTAGCGTAGTGAAGAACAAGTAAGTTTGTTTCTTGATGAAAAACTTAGGGTAGTTAAGAACAAGTAAGTTTGTTTCTTGATAAAAAACTTAGGGTAGTGAAGAGCAAGTAAGTTTGTTTCTTGATACAAAGGGTAGTGAAGAACAAGTAAGTTTGTTTCTTGATAAAAAACTTAGGGTAGTGAAGAACAAGTAAGTTTGTTTCTTGATAAAAAACTTAGGGTAGTGAAGAACAAGTAAGTTTGTTTCTTGATAAAAAACTTAGGGTAGTGAAGAACAAGCAAGTTTGTTTCTTGATAAAAAACTTAGGGTAGTGAAGAACAAGTAAGTTTGTTTCTTGATAAAAAACTTAGGGTAGTGAAGAACAAGTAAGTTTGTTTCTATCTAGATTGGCTCACAACCTCGTAAATTATGAGCAAAATTAATATGCGTATAGCGCTGTAGCGGGGATACTGGCCAGCTCCTCAATGATGAAATGAGACAAGCATTTAGTGTTCAGAAGTGCATAGAAGCTTTTGTTTCCATCTTGCATACTGATTAGCTTCCAACCTCATATATTATCGGTAAAATGTATGTTTTACAATTTACAATTACAAGCAGCAAATGACAGTAGTCGCTCGAACTTTTAAATGAATGCGAAGCCGCATTTTACCCTTGACACTGAGTCACTGTCCGTATCATTAATGTAAAGACGAATAATAATGAAGCCGATTCGCAAGATCGGCATTGCGCTGGAAAATAATTACAAAATATGCAAGAAGTCCACAGCAAGCTGCATGAACCATCAAAACCTCACCCATCAGAATGTTCAGGAGAACTGCCGAATTCCTCACGAACATAAAATGGTGATGAAACGGGGCAGGCTACCGGAGATCTCGACATCCTGGATCTGCAAGAAGAAAACTAATGAGATTCTTTGTCCTATTTTGATTGCAGTTCATGGTGAGTAGTGGCTATACGGCAAATTGAGACATAGAAGCTGCTTACAGTAACCTGGCAGAACTCAGTGCAAGAGCTATGCAGGATTCATACCCCACAAATATTCATATTTCCACACAAAAGAGGACACCCACGACCCTCCCCATGAAGACGTGGGTAACAACAACCTGCCCATCACCGAGCTCCCCAACCGGTATGTTTACAGATTACATATAAAAGTTAGATACAGATACAAAAAAATTAGATACAGATAACAGATACAAATAAAAGTTGGATACAGATACATATAAAAATTAGAGACAGATACATATAAAAATTAGAGACAGATACATATAAAAATTAGAGACAGATACATATAAAAATTAGAGACAGATACATATAAAAATTAGATACAGATACAAATAAAAGTTGGATACAGATACAAATAAAAGTTCGATACAGATACATATAAAAATTAGAGACAGATACATATAAAAATTAGATACANAGATGTGTATAAGAGACAGGCACCTCACCTGAGCAACGATGGCCACCCTCTTCTTGTGCAGCACCTGAGCAACGATGGCCACCCTCATCTTGTGCACCACCTCACCTGAGCAACGATGGCCACCCTCTTCCTGTGCAGCCAGTCCTGATACTCCTCATAATCTCTGAGTTCCTCGCGTCTCTTGCCCAAGACGCATGACGTGCCCCAGATGGCGAAGTTATTTGTACCTGCCTCGACCCATAATGAGCTTCTAGAAATTGTCCATAAACTTTGGATCCTAAAACATACGTTTATATTTTTTCCTTAATCTGTCTTGTAGGTTTCCTTTTTAGGAAATATTAATCTAATGACAAAATCTTCTACTATGCTTGGTTCTATATAGGCTTATATACATGTTATGTGCCTCAAGTAAAACTGCTAAATTGATAGTTTTCTTTAAAACAGTAGTTCAACATCTGATATCTGATGAAAGATTTTGCTAGTTAAATGTTGAAAGTGGCAAACATAATTTGCACACATGCATACACTGCACATATCCAAAGCATAGTCAAGTGAATAATCCTGATCCAAAGTCCCACACAAAACGGAAGAAAAGGGATTACACCAATAAATGTATGATTATTATTAAGGATTGTGAGCATTTCTTTATATTAACTAAGGGCATAGATTGTTTGATCGATAGTTAAAACTTGACATCAAATTTTGCACGCTATAAGGTCGAAGTTTTTCAAAATACCATCAGACTGAAAGTATTTATTTCAGAAAATCATCATCAATAAAATTCCAAGCGCAAATTTAAGCAGCTTGGGAAAGGTTAACAACCTTTTAGATTCAAAATGAAAGTAAAGATCAGATTACAAAAGGCATATTCACTAGTTCAGTCAGTAGATTAATTCTAAACTTACATAATACTCCTCCTTCCTGTCACCATTACCTCGAGACAACTCTAAGTTCAACTAAAGTTAATAGAAAGAATGATTAGCCTCACCAATTACAATGACCTCATTAATTTCCCTAGTGTCAATAAAACTTGGAACAGGTTGAATAAATCAGTGCAGAAAAAAGAGAAGCAAATTAATTCAAGTGTGACCGTTGGCACTGGGAATGATTCAAACAAGACATACTCAAAATTACGCTGTTAAAGCCAGAATAATTTCACTGCTGAAAAATTCGTAAGGGATTGTCCAGGCCGTGCTTACTTCACCTGCTAATATTCTACAACGGTAAACAAATTTCACATTATATACAAAGCACGCACATTATATACAAAGTAATCTTGAATTTCTTGGTATCAACTTGCCAGGTTTTCAAACTCATTCACGTTTTTTATGCAACTAAAATGTAAGTCTAACAAGTTTCTTCGTAAGTGTGAAGTAGAAAATAATCGTGACGCTTGCTGTGTAAATATGCTCCTAATTTATATCTTGTATGGGTAAGCGGGAGGTATAATGGTACGTATTTTCCCAGGCAGTAATTCTATCAACTTGTAGCAAGAGTTGCAGCGTCTGTCACCCCGCAAGAAACAAGCCAGTGCTCGCAGGCAAATTATGGCAATTGTATCACAAGTTGGCACTAGTACATGAAGCGATTTCCCGCACAATATTTTTCAGAATGGATACCTTAACCAGTGCCAGCATGTGGAGGCTTTTATGCTCACAAGCTATAAGCTATAAGGCTATTTGTACGAGGTACAAGCTAGGTACGTACCTGGGTATTTTGCGTACCGCAAATTTTACGTTATATTGGGAACTTATCAACAAAAAATGGCATAAAAAAAAGATGGTAGTGGATAATCTCGAATTTATCAATGATTGAAGCAAACATAGGTGCATGCATTAGGCTTGTTTTTTGATAAAATAGGAAAACTGAGTTAGTGCATCACAGGAGGTCACTGTGAGAGGTGTAATTATGCGACAAAATCTAGAGGCCTGTTAAAGCCTCCTTTCCTGTTCATATATTGGCGGTACTTTCGCTTCATGATGACGTGGACGGCCCCCACGTTGTTACCCTCCACTTTTTTCCCTATGGGCAGCAAAAAAAAAAAAAAGGGAAAATAAATGCGTTAGGAGACGTAGAAATAGACTTCCTTTTCCTTATAATTGATTGCAAAAGCATATTGTACCCAGCTAACGCTGGGTAATATACCTTATATTACAAATAACGTTAATTTTGTTCTAGGTATTCAACCATGCAAGAAATTTAGCGGATAGTGCACATCATGTCAATGAAGTCCTAAAAAGCCAACGTCGTTCATGGTCTTTTTAGCGTCATTCATCACTACCGTAATTCCTGGTCCTACACTGCTGATGTATCACAACTAATCTACGCACAAGTGACAGTATTTCTCCACAGCATATTTGTCTCTCAGAGATTCACATCATTAGGTCACATAAGAGTTTCATGGAAGAAGAGTGAGCTTTAGAAAATAATTCATCACCGTACATGTTCTGCTTCTAAAATGAATGCATTTCTGTTTTGGAAAATAACAACTGTAAGAACTGGAAAATTTTCTCACTAGAGCCATCTATAATCAATCAATACCGTAGATACCAAATCTCTTCAAGTAGAACAAATGCATAGAAATGTGGTGCGCAAATGCCAAAATGAGAATAAGATGGTCTAAGCAGACCATCTGTTAGTCTCCATAAATTAGAGTAACAAACATATTGAAACTAAAAATTGCAACACTGAACTCACCTTTAGTGGAGTGGAAAGAACCAAAGCCCATGAGTTCCTTCATCTGCCGCTCTTCTTCCGTCATCGCTGACATGGGAGGTTCTATAATTTGTTTTAGATTAGTTTGCATGTAAATGAAAATAAATATACACTGTCATAACAATGGAATTCATTTTATAGTCGTAAATAATTATGTAAACAACATCCTTTAGTTAGGTTTAAATCTTTAATGGCAATCAATCTAAAAATCAGTCAATCCATTTTATTTACTGTGACAAGAAAAACATTCTTCAGCCACATTGAAAGAACATGTTAAAGTAGAAGAAAACTTCACATTTGCCTATCTAGTCTTCAACAATTACCATTGCAAGAGATATGGAAACGCAGATATATGAAACAGAAAATTATCACAAATATAGGTACCATTATTAGCAAGAATTAAAAAATATAACTCAGTACTCACTGCAGTGAGTGACAAAAAGCGCATTTTCTCGTCGACGAAAACTTGAGGTCACGGACGGACGGACGGACAGACGGACAGACAGATGGACATGGCGAGCACAATAGTGCATTTTTTCCATAAATGAGAAAATGCGCTAAAAACACACGCCAATGGATACACTCATTTTTTTCGTATCAAACCTTCATGCCTGCCGCTAGGACCGGCCGTGTTGACAGGGGAGTTGCGGTGACGTCTGTGCGATGGTGACCGAGAACGAGACCTGCGACTCCTCCTCTCGCCACGCTCCCCACGGTCGCGGGATCGAGACCTGCCACAACAATCAGGCAACATTATCTAAGAATCAAATGACAAGCATGGAAGATTTCTGAGTTCATTAATCTCTCTGTTCAATACATAATAGGTATTGAACTTTACTTACCATAATTGCTAGAAAATGGTGCTGTTAAAGAAAAGAAAATGGTGCTATTAAGGAAAAGAAAATGGGCTCCTGATTGACACTCCCTTTTTGTTAACGGATATTAGAATTTTCTATGATTGTTGCATAAATTATAAAGAAACCTGAAATCTAGGCATACATTTTCTGAGTGATATTTAGTTGGGCAAGCAATGTTGATAATCTATGCACAATCACAATCAGTAATGTGTAAAGTAGATGCAATGATTTTCAAAAGGATGGAAGACTGTAGCCACAATGTGTTGTTTAGAAGTTGAAGTAATGAGAAAAAAAAATCAACCATTTAATTTAAGGGTAATTGAACAAAGATATTCAATCGTTCCATAACTTTGGGGTTGTTCAAAGTCTGACACAGAAAGTAACAAGTAAAGTGTAATACGTATTCAAGTGATGAATAACCTAACCTAGTGAAAGTTTAGAATAATAGAGGCAAAAACAAATTTTGTTCTCTTGGTAGTTCAGCTGAAAGAATCAATTAAATATTGATCAAAATACCAAGTTCTGGATACAGGAGAGTAATGAGTAAATTAATTGTAAAAAATAGGTCATAATGTAAGAATTTATGAGAAACATAGTTTGCCAATACGTAATCAAAGGATGAAATCAAAATATGTTAAAAGGAAAACGATGAGACAAGCCTAAGGGTGCATGATGAGTTCAATAAGATAATTGAGATAAGAGAAGGATTAGATTGATAACAGAACATATGTGTAGATTCAGAATTCTTAATTTGAGCTGAGAAAATATATCACCAATTTTTAAAGTCACTAACTGCCATAAGTAATAGCAAAGAATAGAAATTTTCAAATAAAAAATAATGATGCATGTATAAATTCACTGGGCAATCGCACCAGCAAACTCACCTTCTCCTTCTATCCCTATCACGATCTCTGTCTCTGTCACGGTCTCTCTCAGTGTCTCGATCTCGCTCATCATCCCTCTCTCGGATAGGCATGATTTCAAAGAAACCTCACTCCTGCAAAATGTTAGTAGATTAACAAAAATCTGAACTTCCATAATTCGATTCAATCTGCAGTGAACTTTGATATATTTTAGCCCTCATGTGTCATTTCTATGAAACATTTTTGTAATTGCCATACAAATTTAACAGAGATTTGAATATCTTGAAAATGAAATGCCAAGAGTAAGGAGGCAAAGACAGGCATGTAACCAGGTTGTAAATTAGGCCAATGCTGTAGTAATGGATAAAATTTTCATATAATTTGTAGGCATACAACTTCTATCATGTGTGAAAGCATTTAGACACAAGTTTTGTCCACACCTCCCAGTTCTAATTCCTACAAGATGGATAAAATTGATGTGTTGAAGCCAAAAAACGTAGCTGCTACCAAAACTACCATAAAGCTCCTGAAAATGTAGCTACAAAGGCATCAAGGAAAAAAATACATTCGAGTAGCAAGTCTTGCTGCACAGTACATGTTCATTCACTACACTACTGGCTACAATTTAGAATAGGTTGATTATTCTCACATAGCAGGCAGTGACCATGTGACTCAATCACTCAAATCAACCATATGGAAATTTAAACCACATTACAATAAATTTCACTGTTTTCAAAATCAAAAAAATTAAAGGGATGGTAGGTCTCCAAGCCATGATAGGGTTTTTAGAGCCTTGAATGCATCAATTATCAGAATTCATCAATCAAGTGGAATTTTTGAGCCTTGAGTCCTCTATTTAAGCCGCAGAAAGCTATTTTTTTAGCTATGAACTTAATTGCCAAGCTATGCGCACATATTACGCCAAATCACTAATCACAATAGCGCCTTTTTTTCATAAATGAGAAAATGTGCTAAAAAGTCAGTGTGCAAGATATTTTTGCAGAATCATGCTGCATAAATTCAAAATTACAAGGAATGACAAACTTATGAGCCACATGTTTCCAATGGAACCAAAATACATCAGTGAGGAGACACAAGATTTCATATTAATGAAGTGATAATGTATATCGTATTCTGAAATAATGACATAACTACACTATTGTATTACGCTCTTGAAATAAGAATTGTAGCATTATGCACAGAAGTTTAATTATATCAGTGCGTTAACATTGTGTGCATTTGAGGCGGTTTGATGGGCGGCCAGCACGCAGTCCTAGTTCCAGATGGGCGTCCAGCATGCAGTCCTAGTTCAAGATGGGCAGCCAGCACGCAGTGGCAATATTTTTATAATATTGCCAAGCTCAAATTGATGCATCAACATTCCCATGTGCTGGAAAAATTGATGCTGATATAATCTTACATTACACATACATTCTACTTCTAATTGGCTTTTTATTGCTGCAACAAAGCCGAAAGCTTCTGTGTGACACACTTCCCGAAGACGTTGAATGTATGTGGCTGATTGCTGATACCTAATAGGTAGAAAATGTATTTACTAGAATATTTTTAGCTAATTAATTAGGTCTCACAACGCTTCCTGCCAGTGAGTTGTTCTTACCTCATATCAATTACATTCTTATCTTAATTTTGCAGTATTACTGAATTGTTCTTTAATTTATGATTATGCATAAGTTTAATTATATCAGTGCGTTAACATTGTGTGCATTTGAGGCGGTCCCTTCTAGCTTTCTTTCGCTGATTGGATTCCAGTGGCTGTGATGTTGCACACGTTCTAGCGACGATTGGATCCCTGTGACAGTACGTTGGACGGGTTCAAGCTTTGATTGGATTCTTGTTACTGTGATGATGCAAGCGCTGATTTTTTTCAATGAAACAGCTGTGGCATCTTGCAGAGACTCATCAGTGATGATGATGGACTGAAAGTGGAACTGTGGAAGTGTGCTGGACATTCCAGATTTTTGGGTCCTGCTTTTCTATTTGCTATGTTTACCAGTTAATATATTACCCCTCTGGATTTCCACACTGGTCAGCCTTTGAGTGGTCCCATGCACTGTGCCACTCTAGAAGCAATCTTGATTACCATCATCACATGGAATTTACGAGCGCGCCTGCCCAAAATGGGAGCGCAGCAACATCACCCAACCTTTCACCACGAAAACTCAGTGTTTACTGCCGTACCGCCAGTACGTAACCTGCGCAGACCGCCACGCCAGCCCACTGAGCCCAGCGGCTGAATGGTGGCAGCCATTCAGCCATTTTTTTATTATATGACCAATCTTCCAAGGCCAAGTCACATGGCAATATTAAAAATATTTAGCTTCCTATAAACGTTTTAAAGCCAATTGAAATTTTAAATAATACATTTATAACATAACTCCAAAATGCAGAATGTTTCATGTGATAAAAAAGTATAAAACAATTTATTTAAATAATTCAAATATGTTACTTGCGAAATTTCCCACTCTTCCGCTCGTGGATAAGAGTGTCATGCACACCCATCTTATACGACTTGACTAACCGTGGTAAGACTCAGTCACTCACTTCTCTTCAAAATTTAACAGTCACTGCTTTACACTGCATTTCCCAGGAAAGCCCAATATCGAATTTAAAAAATTAGAAACGCACTTTGAGTTCAAACACGTGCAGTCCATGTGGCTTTGCTTGGCATATACATAGTATGGCCACTCCCATGCAAGTTGAACTAGCATGGGATTGGGACCTTCTCTAAGTTCTCTGTGTTGCCTGACTTGACTTGACGTTCATACAATCATAGCTACCGTAACCAAAGCCGATTTCTGACAGCCTGCAAACCTGTTTCTAGTTGCCTGGAACATTTTTTTAAGGCGGTACACTTTTTTTATGTCAACCACAAATTTTAGAATTCCAGCCTGTTAACTAGAGGGAGTTGTGATTTGTGCATATTTTTGACTGTTGTATATTATCGACATTCTTTTCCAAGGATGGCATGAATCATAAAGCTTGAAAGAGAAACCAAGAATGAAAGTCAGGGAAGCCTGGCCAGCTGGGCCCAGAAAGATGACTCAGCAACCAATGAAAGTACGTAAGTTATTGTCATTTTTTTCAATCATTGATGGCATTTCACAACTCGCAAGTGCAATCAAGGGAAGTCATTAAGCAGTTTTACAGTTCAATTCTTATTTTTGTATCAAAATCAATTTTGAAACTCCACTGGGGTCTAGGAAAGACCAAGCTGGGTTTAGACCGGGCTCTGAGTTTAGACCGCCGAAAGTCACCAATTGCCGGAGACTCGGAGTGCTCGACCAAAGGCGGAGTGCCATAAGTATCTCCCTTGACCCTTCCTAGAATTTCACTTATTTATTAGCCTAAGAAGACCAGTGAAGTATTAACATAACATAACATAGTGATGTCGGCTCTGAAGTGTAGGCCTGATGTGGCCTGTTGCCGATTCTTTTCCATTTCGTGCCTTGTTCATAGATCTAAACTCGTGTCATTTTGACGTCACCATTTCAACCATCAATGAACGCATGGAACTAAAACAAAGCTTAATATAAAGGAAAAGCTGGAGAGGTGATGGAATTACCTACGATGTATGTCGGAATATACCGCGTTTACCCTACCCCTCACAAGTCACAACAGATGAACAGATTCCATCAGCTTACAAACAACACTTGTCAAGTTGTCAGACTGACAGGGTGATAGTTGCCGGGGCTGCTTTTGTCACCTTTTTTGAACAATGGTGTTACTTGAGCTTCTTTCCAGTCGGACAGCAAAGTTCCTTCGTTCAAGGTTTTTTATACCTAACCACAATCCGCAATTACCTATCATAAATTGATATTGAATGCAATTTTAAACTTTATCAGAGAACTAAAAATGAACTGGGTTTTAAAAAATATTTAGTTTGCCGCTACTTATAATATGCTCCGATAGTCTGACGCTGCGACGGAGAGAAACGTTCCTTACGTTCGACTTGGAAGTTTGATGGCGTGATGTAGCCTCATCAATTGAAGTATGGTTAACACTTAACATACCCGTATAATACTGCTGTAGGAGAACAAAGTTGAAATGCATATATATATAATAATGAAATGTTTAATTTACAACGATCAGACTTACAATTCGTGAAAATTTAGGAATAATATCGAATGTTAGGAGTCCCACAATCTCAAAGAATTGACTAAACTTGATGATCAGTTTTACTTTGACGATACGCGGCGTTAACCACGCGAACTACTACGAGTTCCAAAGCGTTTTAGTAGTAAGGACGGCAAAACTTGCTTTTATTAATACATTTTATTCATGAGGTAATAATTTTGAAAATTATCCAATAATTCAGGCGTATTCTTCGAAATTGAAATAATTCAACATCATTGGAATTCTTACATGAATGAAAAATATATATTATTTAGAAATAGTATATAGAATGAAACAGTGAAATGCGTAAATTAGCATGTGTAATTGAAGAATTTGAACTAATATAGATCAAATTCTCACAATTCATCTCTAATGATATTGTGGTCTCGGTTTTCAAAGAGAGGCAGCGAGTCCCAGAACTGCCGTTGTTCAGCTCTATAAGGAGTGTCTCTACTCTCCATGTCCGGGTCTATTTTGAGGTAAATGTCGTAGCCCACGTAATATGGTTCCCACCACGTTCCCCAAGGGGATACATCGTCAGGATAACCCGGCAGCAGAGGCGTGGGGTCACTGCAATGGGAAAAAATAATAAATGGTGGATGGCGGCACAAATAAAGACAATACATTTTCATAACTGGAAATTTTTAGATACTGACATATATAATTGTATGAAACACACAATTCAAACTAAATTACGATTACATGCTAACTATGACGCACGCTAAAACCCCTATAATTAAAAGTTCACAATGCAGGCGGTCGACCACAAACGGATATTTCTAATATTACACAAGTTCTTTCCAAGAGGTTGTGCAAAATCTGACCAAAAACTTATGAAGATATTTCCATTATGATAATCTTAGCATAATCAGTTTACAATTGATGCACAGACACACTAATTGGATACAAATGTTAGCCTGTAATTAAATTTAAACAGAAATGACTTGTTACATGCGATTGTCTCACCCTCCTTTGATGAAGTTTGTCCACAACATGATCATGGATGTGGACACTGAAGACGAGGTGTCCTTGCTGTGCTGCTGGGCGTAGAACAACTTCAGCTTCGGGGACGGGAACAAGAACAAGAGTTCGTCCATGAAGCCCACACCCCACCCGTGGGCATCCCGTGTGTTTTGGAAACGCGGGTTTGCGAATCCTATTGTGATATAAAATAAATTTTAAAAATAACAATATTTTAGCTATCTTAGGTATCGTAATAATATGTAAGAAAAATTTTAAATAACTTAAATGTGTTGCGATAGTACATGAAAATTTTTGTAGTTGACGCTAAGAGTTTTTAGGTTACATGTAGTTACGAAAATTCTGAACGGAACGAAATCTAAGATCATGATTGTTTATCATGCAAATACACGATGCCTTCTAAAACCTTACAACTTATGTAGTACATAGAATTATTATAGCTAAGCTGTAGACAAATGTGTTACGATAAACTCAAACATTGATTGAAATACGAGTAATTTGTTAGAGCATAAAAATACCTGCAAAATTTGAAAATGAAATTGGTTATGATTGTTTTCTACCGAATAACGGCTGAGCAACAACTCCCGCACTATCCTACTGCATGATATCGTCATGCTGAATGCCTGTTGGCATCAGTATCCGCCGTATCCTGCTGTAGGATATCTTCTTACCGAATGCCTCCTTGGCTGCGACGTCGGCCGTATCCTGCTGTAGGATATCTTCTTACCGAATGCCTCCTTGGCTGCGGCGTCGGCAGTATCCTGCTGCAGGATATCGTCTTACCGAATGCCTCCTTGGCTGCGGCGTCGGCAGTATCCTGCTGCAGGATATCGAGGAAGCTTTTACGACCACAGAAGTCGAGGACGTAGCGGTAGCACCACGTGTACTGCCCCTGGAGGCGGGAGCAGTGGTCGCGCATGGCTTTTTCCGTGGGGTACACGAAGAAGCGGTCCGTCATCATCTGACCGAGACATAATGAGTTAGGTGTGATGTTCTTGTCAATAATATCATCATAAGGTCAGGTATAATGTTGATGACATGAATATTAGGATGAGGTTAGTGTGATGTTCTTGTCATCAATACTATCATAAGGTCAGGTAAAATGTTGTTGACATGTACATTATGATGAAGGTAGTATAATGGTTGAACTAAAAGTTCAACCATTGTTAGTATGATGTTAAGCATGAGTTAAGTGTGATACTCTTTTTATCATAAGGTCAGTTATTATGTAGATGCCATGTACAATGTACATTGTGATGAGGTTAGTATGATGTTGATGTCATTATTATTATGATAACGTCACATAAATTTCCGATTTGTATTAATATTGAGAATTTTTACGAACCAAGAATGCATAATGTTGATGTCGTGAATATTCTTTATACGTTAAAAATACGCTATTGAAGTTTCCATTATATTGATTGCTTTATGTTTTTTTTGGCGTAGCAAATATGATCTTGACGTAATGAACGCTTTGCTGGTGTCAACCATATCATGTTAAATATAATTAAACCTTCACTATAATACGAAGTTACATTTTATGAAAGTAGTTGCTAATATTGAAAATGAATGTAAATACTATGTGTTCATATAAAAACTATAAGAAGTTATTACGCAAATATCAATACGTACGATTAAAAGAACATACGAATGAACATAGATCAAAACAGCTAACAATCATCATTGATATTTGAAATTTAAAACGACTGTGTTAGATGTCGTGTGATGTCGGAGGCAGTGACGGCATCATAATCTGATTTGTCCGGTAAACCATCATGAAAATATGAGCAGAATTTCAGTTTTTCATTATTTTATATTATTATGCTACATATTATTTATACTAGGCATTATTATGGCACCTGACCTCCACGAACTCTTTAGAAGACTCGTCGCCAAACTTCTTGTCTTTGATGTAGTATTGTCGTATTTGTCTGGCAACAGCAACCGGGTCTTTGCAGGAGTCTTTGGTGAGGTGCAACAGCACTGGACCTACACGGTCCCAGTCTGTGTTCAGCTGTCGTACTAGCACGTCGTCGTGCAGAATGTCTGCAGAGCATATATTTTTAGTGTTAGATATGAGGTTTCATCGGGAAATTTATTGCAGGTTCTATACATTGGTTGATCATCATGCTACACGCGGGTTTTAATAGTGAATACCGATAGCTTATAGATCAATGGTTAACCGACGCACAGGCATATATATCATCCTGTCGAGTAGTTGATTGCTGCTGGTATTTAATTAACAAACAACATTAACATTAATATCAGCATGAATATTTAAATAAGTCTATATTTAAACGAATATTAATATAAAATATAGAGAAAAACTCGGAAATAGTTAGAGAAAAATTTCTATTTTATTTGTGAGAACCGATAACCCAAGTCTGGGTTCAGCTCCCTACCTTTGAATGCATGCCGTCCCTATTAATTTAATTTGTTTGAAATTGAAGAAACGTATTAATTATTCACTAATTTGAATATTTAGTTATTTGTTTTATGGGTTAAGTTCGGTGGTCACTGTGAAACATATCACTTCAGAACCTGACATGATGAGAAAAGAAATATAGTAATACCGAGCTAACAGGCGTTACAACTCGCTTGATACTCAAATAATTTCCAAACTATCTTCACGTTACCTCTAACTCTGAAGGCGCCATCATCCCTGTTAGTACCGCACATCCAGGGGATCTGAAGGAATTTATTGTTGTGGATGAGGCGGTGTGGCTCGTCAGGTAAGAAGGCTTCATCCATCATCCACGTGTCAATCACAGGTCCAAACGGCAGCGGCTCTTCGTCCCATTTCTGAACAATTATTTACTCCAAAATTCTATATAGAAAATTTGTATATATTATTTATGAGCAAAAAAGTTTTATATAACACGTGATTATGAGTAGTAACTTGCATCTAGATTAAAAGATCTAAAATAATATAATACAATTAGATGAAATAGGTATTTGCCTCTCAATTATTAAAGAACCTGAAGTTACCTTAGACCCACAAAGACTGTAAGGATTTGAATCTGAATTAAAGATCCCTAAGTTGCCTAATACCCACAATGGTTTTATTACCGGCAGATCCTGCACCACTAACTTATTATCTACGTTGAACGATTGGACTCGCCTGCTGGACGAAAGGGAGCCAGTGGATGCATTGTACCTCGATTTTGCCAAAGCATTTGACAGTGTTCCGCATGAGCGGCTGTTGCGTAAACTGAAGTCCTTGGGAATTGAGGGAAACGTACTCCAATGGATCAGAGATTTTCTAGTAGGTAGACGACAACGTGTCAGCATTAACGGAACCGTGTCAGACTGGGCATCAGTGCGCAGTGGCGTGCCACAAGGAAGCGTCCTGGGGCCTATTTTGTTCGTTGCTTTTATAAATGACCTGCCAGAAGTAGTGTCCAACGTGTGCTCCATGTATGCCGACGACACAAAAGTTTATAATTCAGTGAAGGATGCGTCAAATAAAGCGCAATTACAAGATGATCTTGACAGTTTAGTTAGCTGGGCTGATACATGGCAGCTACAGTTTAATGCTGACAAGTGTAAAGTACTTCACCTCGGGAAGAACAATGAACAGCAAGATTACAGTATGAGAAGACATGGTTACAACGAGAGAGTAATGATTGAAAAGTCTAGTGTGCAAAAAGATCTCGGAGTTTATGTCGACAAGGAGCTGAAATTTTCTAAGCATGTTGAAACGCAAGCTAACACATCCAACAAACTTCTTGGACTAATCAGACGCTCATATATATGAGTACGTATAGATGCAGAAGCGATGCATGAAGCAGTTGTTTGTTGCTGTCGTGCGCCCGTATCTAGAGTTTTGAAACGTTGTGTGGTCACCGAGATTTGAAAAGGACAGAAATTTAATAGAGAATGTTCAAATACGTGCAACAAGGATAATTCCAGGCTTGAAGGGCAAGTCCTATGAAGAAAGATTGAAGATTATGAAGCTTCCAAGCCTCAGTTATCGACGTCTGCGTGGGGACCTCATTGAAGTATACAAGTATACTCATGGTTTATACAAAGTCCCCGAAGGATTACTATAATTTGAAATAAGAACCAACACCAGGGGCCACGGCTATAAACTAAAAAAACTGCGCTGCAACATCTCAACGCGACAAAATTTCTTCTCGCTTCGAAGAACAGCCTCCCCGATGACATCGTTGGCACTCCAAGTATGAACGCGTTCAAGAACAGACTAGATAAAGCTATGGAAAAATATATGTTCAGATTTTAAATGCCTAGCTCCTTATCGAACCCGGTGGAAGTCTAGTAGCTACTTCAACTATCGTCAGTCATGAAAAGATCCGGTCAAATGACACGATATTAGATCTTCTGTGAACAAGGCACGAAAAGATCAAGAATCGGCGACAGGCCACATCAGGCCTACGCTTCAGCGCCGACATCACTATGTTATGTTACAAAGACTGTAAGGATTTGTCTCTGAATTAAAGAACCTGATGTCATCCAATACCCACAAAGAGCGTAGGGATCTGTCCCACGATGGCGTTGGCATCCATGTTCCTGAGACAGTGGATGAGCTGGACGGACTCGAGTCCCGCCGGACAGCCGACGGTTCGCGCCAGCGCAAATGCCTGCGCCCGCGCGTCCCTGGAGATGGCGTGCGGGCTGTAGGCCGTGCCGCTCTGCGAGATGGCCCGCGCCAAAAGACCAGCGCAGCAAATGTTTCAATTAATAATTCATTTCTACTCCTATAGCATGATTGTCATTATAGTTATAATATAAATTGGCTTAGCTCGCAAGCTAACCATCTATTTTAATGCAAAAAAGGCAAGTAAATGAACCATATTTTCTCTAGCTACGCTTTGGACACCAGCATCATCTCAAAAAGTTAACATTTTACTGTTCCTGCGTTCATAGCATTCCTGTACTAGCATTTCGTTGCTAGTCTCCGGAACGTTTTGATGAAGTTGAGGTGGATTTACTTGGCGTTTTAAATTAAGAATTGTTTGATAATTTTTATTGTAGTCTTCTGTTTAACTTACTATAGTCATCGTGATTTGTTGAAGCCCCTCTGGCAAGAGGTGACAGAGTGAGAAGGTGAGTTGTCGTACCTCCGGCACCAGACCCCATCACAGTCACGGTATCGTTGGTGCCTCCGAAGAACCAAGCGTTCTCCCTGATCCACTCTAAAGCCAAAATTACGTCCCTCATTGCGTAATTGCCGGGGGCTGCTCGGTCTTCGGTTGATAGGAAACCTAGCGCACCAAGTCTGTGGTTAATATTCACAACCACGACGTCGTTCTCGATGAGGTAATCCGCTGTAAACCAGTCTTGGGCCCCGCCCCCAGCCAGCCATGATCCGGCATGGACGAAAACCACGATAGGCTGGTGAGTTACTTTTGAAACTATCGCCGGGTACTGCAATTGTAGTAAAGAACTTATCAATGTCACACACATGCACTGCGTTTTATTCTAACGCACGCAACGATTTACACACTGAGCATGAAAAGATTTTCCATTAATTTTAGTCGCTTGAAAATTCCCCAGCTTTAGTATGGTATCTTCGGCATTGAAGAATAGGCCTGGATAGGCATACTATCTCCTTTGAAAATCGATCTCAAACAGTATTATAAAAATATGTATATAATACAATTATGAGTGTTATATGGGGAGTTTGTTAATACCCAGTTTGTGTAAATATCGAGGTAGAGGCAGTCTTCAACACCCACGACGCCGCGCATCCTAAGATGGTCCCACTGCAGGCACTCGGGGGAGGGGGAGGTGGCGTCGTGCTCCCCCAGCCTGCCCGTCAGCCGCTCAGGATACTGTAGGTTAATTAGAAATGCTTAATGACTTAAGTAGAATGAGACTTGTTAAGTAGATTGAGACTTGTTAAGTAGAATGAGACTTGTTAAGTAGAATGAGACTTGTTAAGAGAATGAGACTTGTTAAGTAGAATGAGACTTGTTAGGAGAATGAGACTTGTTAAGTAGAATGAGACTTGTTAGGAGAATGAGACTTGTTAAGTAGAAAGAGACTTGTTAAGTAGAAAGAGACTTGTTAAGTAGAAAGAGACTTGTTAAGTAGAGTGATACTTGTTAAGTGGAATGAGACTTGTTAAGTAGGATGCGACTTGTTAAGTAGAATGAGACTTGTTAAGTAGAATGAGACTTGTTAAGTAGAAAGAGACTTGTTAAGTAGAATTAGACTTCTTAAGTAGAGTGAGACTTGTTAAGTGGAATGAGACTTGTTAAGTAGGATGAGACTTGTTAAGTAGAATGAGACTTGTTAAGTAGAATGAGACTTGTTACGTAGAATGAGACTTTTGAGTAGAATGAGACTTTTTAAGCATAATGAGACTTGTTAAGTAGAATGAGACTTGTTAAGTAGTAGTTAATATGCTTCTGAGCCATTAAAATAATGAGGGGGGAAGGCTTGGAGTAAATCACCAAACACGGAGAGCAGGCAAAAAATGTTCGTATTAAATATTTTGGTAAAAATTGTTGTACATGGAAATTTGCTTGCGTGTTTGTAAGAATCGCTGTGGAAAGTTCAACATCACAATTGAAAAAGTTCAACATATCATGAGGAAGTTCAACATCACATGAGGAAAGTTTAACATCACATTTAACTTGATACATAGTATGCCAGACTTAGGGTTGTTTAGATCAGTACTCGCTGCAGTGAGTGACAGAGAGCGCATTTTCTCGTTCGTTCGTGACGTGAGGTCACGGACGGACGGACGGACATGACAAGCACAATAGCGCCTTTTTTCCATAAATGAGAAAATGCGATAAAAAGTGCAATTTTGAAGTAGAACTAATATTTTATTTATAAATTCCGAACAAACTAGAAGACGTTACAATCAAAACTCACGGCAAAGCGGAGGTCGCCAAGGGGCGGCTTGGCGTAAGGTATGCCGGTGAATGCGAAGACGTTGCGCTTCTGACGACCTGACACGATGTGCTTGCCGATGTAAGTTCCTTTAGGGGTTACTACCCTCGGGGGAGCAGCATCATACGACGCGCTAACTACACTGTAATAACTGACTGCGAATAATAAAAGGAATAATAGGGATATTCGCGTGTTAACAGTAACTGATGAATACATATCCGAATGGGGACAGGCGAATATATGTCTGAAAAAGAACGGATTTCTCATTAACAATAATGACAATGATGTTATTTTATGAATGTATTTGCATTTAGTAGTAAACTAGAAGTAAATATTATTGCGTATCTCATAGATAAATTTTGTAACATTGTTGATATGTTAATAATGTAATATGTTCCTATTTCAATTTTTTATAGCATTGATGTTGAAAAAAAAATCTTTATTTATATGACAGGATTTCCTAAACATTTTACAACTGCGTACACATTTTCAAGTTTTGGCCGACAAATGAAATTTACGGAACTTATATCCGTCACCTCAGCCACGACTCGAGATGCAGATATCATCTTAGTTTTAGCAAACTATTTAGGTCTTTTTCACCTCACTAACATTGAAAAATCCCGTATTTGTTCATTTTAATCTAGGAAGAGTCATTGGGACCATTTAAAAGAGGCACAAGCGGAGTCAGAAAAAATATAACTCAGTACTCAGTATAACGCATTTTCTCGTTAACGAAAACGTGAAGTCACGGACGGACAGACAGACGGACGGACATGATAAGCACAATAGGGCATTTTTTCCATAAATGAGAAAATGCGCTAAAAATACAGACGAGGTCATGTCTGTGCCGCGGTTGCTTCCTCACTGCTGCGCCTATTGCCGACGTGTCCAGAGACCCTGCCGCGCTGCAGGAAAACCTGATAAAAATCCTGGCGCATTACACCGTTTCCACGTCACGGTTAATGATGTTACACGTCATGTTAATCATTTTACACGTCATGGTTATTAATGTTACACGCCATGTCATCATTTTACACGTCATGGTTAATAATGTTACATAACATAACATAGTTATCGGCGCTGAAGTGTAGGCCTGATGTGGCATGTCGCCGATTCTTTTCCTTTTCGTGCCTAGTTCACAGAAGATCTAAAATCGTGTTATTTGACCGGATCTTTGAACCGATAGTTTGAAGTAGCTACTAGACATCCACCGGGTTCGATATGGTGATAGGCATTTAAAATCTGAACATATATTTTTCCATAGCTTTATCTAGTCTGTTCTTGAACGCGTTCATACTTGGAGCGCCAACGATGTCATCGGGGAGGCTGTTCTTCGAAGCGAGAAGAAATTTTGTCGCGTTGAGATGTTGCAGCGCAGTTTTTTTAGTTTATAGCCGTGGCCCCTGGTGTTGGTTCTTATTTCAAATTATAGTAATCCTTCGGGGACTTTGTATAAACCATGAGTATACTTGTATACTTCAATGAGGTCCCCACGCAGACGTCGATAACTGAGGCTTGGAAGCTTCATAATCTTCAATCTTTCTTCATAGGACTTGCCCTTCAAGCCTGGAATTATCCTTGTTGCACGTATTTGAACATTCTCTATTAAATTTCTGTCCTTTTCAAATCTCGGTGACCACACAACGTTTCAAAACTCTAGATACGGGCGCACGACAGCAACAAACAACTGCTTCATGCATCGCTTCTGCATCTATACGTACTCATATATATGAGCGTCTGATTAGTCCAAGAAGTTTGTTGTATGTGTTAGCTTGCGTTTCAACATGCTTAGAATATTTCAGCTCCTTGTCGACATAAACTCTGAGATCTTTTTCCACACTAGACTTTTCAATCATTAATCTCTCGTTGCAACCATGTCTTCTCATACTGTAATCTTGCTGTTAATTGTTCTTCCCGAGGTGAAGTACTTTACACTTGTAAGCATTAAACAGCAGCTGCCACGTATCAGCCCAGTTAACTAAACTGTCAAGATCATCTTGTAATTGCGCTTTATTTGGCGCATCCTTCACTGTATTATAAACTTTTGTGTCGTCGGCATACATGGAGCACACGCTGGACACTGCTTCTGGTAAATCGTTTATAAAAGCAACGAACAAAATAGGCCCAAGAACGCTTCCTTGTGGCACGCCACTGCGCACTGATGCCCAGTCTGACACGGTTCCGTTAATACTGACACGCTGTCGTCTACCTACTAGAAAATCTCTGATCCATTGGAGTACGTTTCCCTCAATTCCCAAAGACTTCACTTTACGCAACAGCCGCTCATGCGGAACACTGTCAAATGCTTTGACAAAATCGAGGTACAATGCATCTATACTGGCTCCCTTTCGTCCAGCAGACGAGTCCAATCGTTCAACGTAGATTATATTTTAGTGGTGCAGGATCTACCGGCCAAAAACCATGTTGACAATCTGATATGAGATGGTGAGCAGTCAAGTGATCGATAATCCTATCCCTCACAACAGATTCCATTAGCTCACAAACAACACTTGTCATACTGACAGGGCGATAGTTGCCGGGGCTGCATTTGTCACCTTTTTTTGAACAATGGTGTTACTTGAGCTTCTTTCCAGTCGGACGGCAAAGTTCCTTCGTTCAAGGTTTTTTGAAAGAATACTGTCAATGGGCCGGCCAGAACGGATGCTAATTCTTTGAGCAATCTGGGATGGAAGCCGGCTGGTCCACATGACTTGTTGGGATTTTGAGCTACCAGGCGCTTGAGAACCTCTTCTTCGTGTATTTCAAAACATGTTAACTTCGAGCCGACTGGGCGCTCCTCAATATCTCAATATTTAAATATTGCCACTAAAGATTTTCGTGAGGCCGAATTATGTGAGGAAAAATTATGTGAGGACGAATTATGTGAGGACGAACTATGTGAGGACGAATTACGTGAGGCCGAATTATGTGAGGACGAATTATGTGAGGACGAATTATGTGAGGACAAATTATGTGAGGACGAATTACGTCAGGACAAATTAAGCGAGGACAAATTAAGTGAGGACAAATTAAGTGAGGACAAATTAAGTGAGGACAAATTAAGCGAGGACAAATTATGTGAGGACGAATTACGTGAGGCCGAATTATGTGAGGACGAATTATGTGAGGACAAATTACGTGAGGACGAATTGTGTGAGGACAAATTATGTGAGGACGAATTATGTGAGGACGAATTATGTCAGGACAAATTACGTGAGGACAAATTATGTGAGGACGAATTATGTGAGGACGAATTATGTGAGGACGAATTAAGCGAGGACAAATTACGTGAGGACAAATTAAGCGAGGACAAATTAAGCGAGGACAAATTACGTAAGGACAAATTATGTGAGGACAAATTAAGCGAGGACAAATTACGTGAGGGTGAATTATGTGAGGACGAGTCATTTGTTTGCCAGGTCATGGCATGTCGCAATCCATGTCAATCATCGAAGGACGGACGAGACGCTGACTTCTGTGACCCGTCAGAGTGTCAGTAGGTCGGGTGACGCAGCCGGGTGAGGTGGTGTGGTGCGTGTCTCCTCCGCGACGCTTAATAGCTACAATAGAGAAGGGTTCAAAATAATCATCGGTTGCCGGGATAGATGTAAATGCATTTCTTGACGTTGATATTGGGGTAAAAAATTTAATTGAACTGAATTCGAGCCTATTAGCAGATACAATGGGTGTAGATGTATATAGGGTATAATTATTTTGTAAAGCGATGTGTTGTACGTGTATGTGATTTTTATGCTGATTTTTTTCTCAAATCTTCACAAGAAAAGGACGTTAATAATTACATAAATGACGTGTGAAAGATGTGAAAACATCAATTTTGTCTCTCTGAGAGCCTAACAAACTATCCACTGATATTAACGCTGGTTTGATATCGACACTAAATTCATATTTTCAAAGAAAAAACTATAAATTTTATCCAGAATTCAAGTGCACAGAAAAATGCATCTTGGAAATGACACAAATAACCTAAGTTTTTGCACAATAACAATTTTTGGATTATAGGCAGATCTTTGTCACGTTGTTCATCCCAAGCTAGTGAACGCTCACTGTGTGTAATGATTGATATTTTTTTACACACATGACGGATGTTAAACATGGAACGATGATCATAACATAATCATCATAGAACTTAGATTCATCGTAGAATTTAAGATCATCTTAGAACTTAGAATCATCATGGAAATGAGGATCATCATTGAACTTAGAATCATCATGGAACTTAAGATCATCGTAGAACTGAGGATCATCACCAAACTTGGGATCATCATAGAACTGAGGATCAAAAAGTAAGAACCAACTTGCTGACCTACACGAAATTTGGTACACAAAGTTCAACCAGCGACCGCGATGTAAACTCTTCAGTCTCTTCCCTTCAATGTCTCTGCGGTTAGTAACCAGTTTTCGTGGCCAATAATGTTGATGGCAAGTTTTCTGTACACGAGTAAGACATCAAGGACAAGACACTTGCCCTGGCTTGCTGTGAGGTAATAAGTTCCAATTAAACGACCACATGCAATCATTGAAACATTGTCGTGGGGACCGGCCCGCTGATGTGTGGAGGTAGAGCGTCGAGGTTGACCCTCCAGACCCCTGATCGTGGACCAGCCCGCTGATGTGTGGAGGGACAGCGTCGAGGTTGACCCTCCAGACCCCTGAGGACCGGCCCGCTGATGTGTGGAGGTGCAGCGTCGAGGCTGACCCTCCAGACCCTTGATCGAGGACCGGCCCGCTGATGTGTGGAGGGACAACGTCGAGGTTGACCCTCCAGACCCCTGATCGAGGACCGGCCCGCTGATGTGTGGAGGGACAGCGTCGAGGTTGACCCTCCGGTCGAGCAGATCGATGTTCCTGACACCAGCAAGCATGCGTAACTCGGATCCATGGCACATGCCGAGCGTCGGCCTGTAATTCAGACGTGCGTAATCATGCAAAGCTCACCTGCGTGCTTAGCAAAAACCCGATCTAGGATTTGCGCATTTCCATACCGACTTCTAGAGATTTTAGCAATATTTAGTATTTTTAGTGCCATCAATACGTTTTGATATAAAGAATAAAGTTCGTCCACCGAGTCGTGTCTTTATATAGAGTGTTGTGAGAAATAGAATTGCCTTCACTGGGTGTAAATTCTGAGTCTCAATGAATACGATAATATTCATTACAAGAAAAGCTTCAATCTGAGGTGTAAGTTCATTTGGCTTGATGACGTTCTAAATGGAGCGACGTTCTAA